CAAACTATACCCATGTTTACGTTTGACCTACATTGTCGGTGTCAGTGGCAAATTTTTTTTCTGGCAAAAATAGCTTTGTCATCTTCAGATAGCTTAAAATACGCCATTTTTCGCGAGATAATTATTTTTAAAGTTAATGTTAAGGTGGTCTCACGAACAATGCAGAAAAAAATTGCCCAATCATAGGCCAAGGTGTGGTAGCCATGTTCTGGTTATCAACAAGGGTAAAATCACGAAATAGCGTTGGTTATTATTCTGGAATGTACAGCAGTAAAATACAGTAAAACCATGGCGTAGTCTGTCGAGCCGTTCCGGAAACCACCAGAAATACTGTAAACCATCATTTATTTGCCGCCATATTATTTTTATATCTATATATATAATTCTCTTCTAGGAGACGTTAGAAAACAAGCTGCAAGCGCGCCTAGCAGTCCCCTCTCTTCCTCTCTATCGCTACCACCCCCCCTGGCATGGTCTGGTAAGCTGTGGTTCACGCTAAATGTTTATATTCGTAGAGCCGGGTTTAGTGACGCTGTTAGGGGCAGATAATTTATAGTTTGAAACTATTTTAAAATTTTAAACTTAGAGTAGGTAACTAAGAGGAGGCTGCTTTCACGGGGGGGGGGGGGGGGGAAGTGGGGTTTAGTGTTTTAAAGCAAATATTTTCAGTGGCAGCATTGGTACTGTCGAATTCACAAATTATGAATTACTGAAAATTAGAAAAAACAACTAAATACTAAAAAAAAACTAAATACTAAAAATAGCGGCGTATGACCGCGGGTCGGCTCGTTGGTTTTATAACATAATGTTTAAAAATGTGCAAGGATTGATTTTAGTTGCATTTTAAATACTGTATTGCTAATTATTTTGTATTTCTAATTATTTTAAGTGTATGTGCTAATTATTGCAGCTACTAAACATTATTCTAGTTCTTCTTACTACTTTAGTAAACTTTACTTAACTTTAGTTATTTTTCTAATGGTCTTATTTATTTTACTAACAGAACTAGACTACTAGAACTGGTTGTCGCCAATCTTCTGCAGGTTTTTTCTGTGTTTCTTAAAAAAAAAAACATTTAGATAATATTTAGATTTTAGATTTACTAATTGTTGCTTCTTTTTTGTCAGTTAAACATTAAATTAAGTTAAAACATAAATTTAATGCACTTGACTTTATTTTTCTTTCAACGGTCAAATAAACTATGGTTTACAGCAACAAATGTTACCGAAACTCAACGAACATTACCCAATAATTTCCGACGCTATATCGTGATTTTACACAACCAAGGAAGCTTTCAAGTTAGCGAGCATCGCTAGAGTATAGGCATTTTGGTAAAAATGTTTCTATTTAAACTAATGATAAAATTTACATAGAATCAAGAAGAGGATCTGCCATTTAATAAACTACAAAAATTATCATTCTAGACTCAGTAGTTTTTTTTATATGATTTTTAAAATGTTAGGTAAAACAGCTTATATGTTCAAGTAAAGTTTCAAAATATTTAGTGCCCTTCTTTGGGTTTGTATAACATTGTTGTTATTAAACATATAATGTAAAAAATGTTCATACTGATGCTAGAGAGTGTAGACAACAGGAATATGCAAGTGAAATAAAGATCAATTTAAAGGAAAAGAATTTATAATTAACTTAATTAAGCCCAATTAAGGTGTGTGGTGCAGTTCTACAATGATTGTCACAAGTCACTTTTCACACTGCATATCTATGTTGTTATTGATGATATAAAGATAAAACTTAGCACATAGATGCTTAAGGATGTTGGAAATAGAAACTTTTAAGTTGAATACATGCTAGAAGAAAAAGAAAATCAAATATAATGAAGTCTAAGGGGATGGGACTGAAATTATGCATCAATAATACCTGGGTATTATACTCATACTGAAATATTATATGTTTAGGATTATGCTGAAGTATCTAAATATTAGTAGCATTAGTTGTAGGCTACTCTAATAAGTATCCAAGGATTGCTAATGAATAAATAGTGTAACAGAAACTAGACGAGGTGTGTGGCAACCGAAGGATATACAGCTGCCTTATTTGCCAATCTGAACCTACTAGATCTATATAAAAAACATTTGGCCTGCTGTTGTTTAGTTTGTTATTTTTAAGTAAAATTATATTACATTGTTAAAAGTGTTACTGTTTCTGTTTTCTTTTTTCTTTTTAAAAAAATGTAGTAATGTTGCTTTAGATTTTTAGATCATGTTGTTGAAGTGCTAAATGTTCCTATTTTATTTTATCTTTGACTTAGTTTTTTTTTTTTTTAAATTTCCATTGCCTCTATACTGTAGTACTATATTTTAACTATTATTTCTATTTGATTTTTATATTACTCATTGGTTAGGCTATAGACTACTAATAAAAAGTTTAAAATTTAAATGGCATGCAATTAGTTTAGACTTTTGTCAATTTCGCCTAGACAGCAATATTTATTTAGATCTAGATAGAGGAATCTAGGACCTATTTAAAATTTTAGTTATTTCAATATTTAGGCCTACCCTATTGACTAATATTAGTTAATCTCCTTACCAAAACCGGAAGTCAGAGCCTGACCCTGAAACGTCATGCTCTTTTGGTTTTCGCATTTTAAGTGTTTTTTTTTGGGGGGGGGGGGGGGGGGGGGCCTATATACAAAAATGAAAAAACTGCTAATCTAGCAATATCTCATCATTATTTTAATGCGAAATGCTAAGGAAATGGATATTATGGCTTAAATGCCAGAAAAATTTGCGAGATATCTAGTTATAATTAATACAAGCATTGCTTGTTGAGCACTCTCAGGAGAAACTGAACTTCAACGAAAAACGACCGACCACCGGGCAACAGCGCTCGACAGATCCTAGATAAATATATATTTGAGATATTTACCATGATTAATTACATTGATGATGTTTCACTTTTCCAAAATCCAATTCCCCATAGAAATACCATGCCTCTGCTATTTTTAGTAACGTTACGTCATTGTTATGCTAGTTGTCAGATAGAAACAACTAATTTTTGTTTTTTGCGGAATGCACTGTTAAGTCTAGTATTTTAATTATAATTCAGTTGTAGCGTGTGTAGAAATTGTGGACATTATTATTGTATTAAAGTATTAGTAATTTTATAAGTATATTGAATTTTTTCTTCACTGCAAGCCAAGTAGGTCGACTGCACTGTTAGTTTCATTGAACATAATTCGTGACCGGTCGTTAACCTTGTAAATACTAGATCTAAATACTTCGTGGCCTACCCGACTGCATAATTTATATGAAATTATATGTAGTTTTTAATTAGGCCTTAGTATTGTATTTTAAACAATGCTCATTCCGAGCCTTTATTGTGTTAAATCTAATTAGGCCTACTGGCAATTTTTTTTATTTATATACTTGGTCAACCTCGTTAATGCTGTTGTGTTAGTTAAACATATAGGAATTGTGTGTAAAATTTACGCAGTTACTCAGTTATTACGTAGTACGATATCAATAAATATAGTAGTATTTATTTCCTTTTAGCAATCTTTTGATACAAAATGTCTAATATTTTATTTTCCAATACATCGTGGTGTGTGGCAGAGTAAACAGAACGGTGCGGTAGGTGACCTAGAATCTCCGAGTTCGAATCCGAAGTAAATCAGTTGTGCTTTATTTTATTGTTTCACATAGGAAATGCCACGAGCGGCTTTACTTTCTTTCTTTTTTAAAAATATTTTTTTGATCGAAATAATATTTTATAAAATAATTATTCAAGATTTTCCAAACATCATTGCTCGCATCGCTCGCGAGATCGACTGCTTACATTTTCTTGTCTGCAGGAGAAAAACGTTGACACGGTCGAGGGTTCACCGTGAGTTCAGCAGGCCTACCATACATACGTCACAGCATTAACGATTGCTGTTAGAGATCGTCAGTGGGCAATCCCACCCCTCCCCGCATAAACCAAGCAAATTGTAAAACAACTTAGGGTCATTTTAAGTTCATGCAAGCTTACAGGACTATAGATTTACTACGCATAGCAGGTAAAAAAAAAAAAACTTCGCCTAACCTAATGCTACTACAGAAGAGAAAAATAATTGTGGAGTATTTATTTTAAAGTTTTAAAAAAAGTTGATTTATCATCTAACCTAATACTGTATTGTCTTTACAGTTAGAATGCCTAGATCTAGATTTCTGTCAGATCTATTTTTAGTTTTGGATATTAATTTTATTATCATCTTCATGGGTATTGATTGTTCAATTCATCATGGAAGGCCTAATGTCTTAAATTGCACATTGTACATAGAATTTATAATAAATATGTCTGATATTTCTTTAATAAACATAATGAATATAAAGTTTTATTTCTAACAAAATGTTTTGGTTTTTTTTTGGTAACTAAAATACCCAATGTTGTCGTAATTGCTATGACATCATGCTACGAATGGAAAACACAAACCAACCTAACGTTTTGAGCTTTTTTGATGGCGAAAAAGAGTTTCGCATTTTAAGAAGTTAATTGGTCATTTTGTTTTTGTTTGTTTTCTTGGCCCCGAATTAAGCTAGACCATTAAATTTGGTCTCAAATTAACCAGTAAGTGATATGGTTTGTAATAATATATCATAAGTGACAGACAATTTTAATTAAAGAATTTAGGCCTAATAAGAAAACCAACTAATATGGAAGATTATTAATGAATGGGACTAGATCTATTACTTCCACAGCTTTAAATTTTATTTAATCCATAAAAAACCTATTTTATAAGCTTAGAATGGCTTAGATCTTGCCAATCCAATAAACACTGTTAAACAGCAATAATAATGTGCGAATTTTCTATTTCATGCCTAGTCTATGGGCCGTCATGAAAATTCTAACTCGGCCGCCATTATTTGCGTAGATCTATATCTAGATCTAGAAGACTATATCAGGATATCACTTCACGAAAGAAGCATTATCTCGTATATAAAGAGCTCTAAAGCCCATAAAACCAACATTACCATCCATCAAAATGGTTTGGCATTACTTACTTACTAGGTTCCTGTACTTATTCTCTTTTTTTAAAGCCGAAATTTTGTTCCGAAAGTAGCGGTTCGGTACTGCGCGGTTTCCATCGATTTTCGCTATCATCATCGTTAGGTCGCTTTCAGTATCGAGTATTGTAAACAGCTACTTCTATCAATGAAACATTTAAATGATAAAATTCAACGCGTATGATAGTATCGAGAATATTTAATTTATCGATTCTGATGGTTAGAATTGGCATTCATCGGAATGGCGAATTTTTTCAAGTACGCATGAAAAAGTCCGGATAAAGGTTGGTTAGAAAGATGGCGGCGAGTCGAAAAGCCTACTACCAGATCTACTAGATCTAGAGATTACAATACTACTAGATCTAGATCTACATCTAACAACCCAACACACCTATTTTATGGATGAGTCTATTATCGGACATCAGTATCTAAAATCATCCTGAATGAATATTACCGTGCAAGCGCCAGATAATAAAATAACAGCTTAATGGATAAGTTTTTCTGAATTACGCAATCTCAACATCATCTGAAAAACAGCTGCCATCTTTATTTTAAAATGGGCCGTATTTTTCAGAAAGCGCCGGTAGGTGGCGCCACAAAGAATGGTCAATAAAGCTACGCAGAGTACCCACCCTTGACACTAGGCGGCGACACGAACATCTAGGTTAAACTATTTGTAAACAAACATGTATGCTGATATTTAAATACATAAATAGTAGCGAGACTCACTAACTTGAAAGCGTCCTTGGTTGCTAACCAGAACATGGCTATCACACCTTGGCCTACGATTGGGCAATTTTTTTCTGCTTTGTTCGAGAGACCACCTTAACATTAACTTTAAAAATAATTATCACGCGAAAAATGGCGTTTTTTTTTTGCGTATTTTAAGCAATCTGAAGATGACAATTCTATTTTTGGCAGATTTTTTTTTTTTTTTTTTTTGCTTCCGACATTGATGGTAAAACGTAAACATGGGTACAGTTTGAGTAGCTTAAAAAACTTTAAATAATGGTCTCTAAGGTGTCAAAACTGCATGCCTAGGTCGAGTATTATTAGATTGATCGTTTAGTGAAAAAAAAATGTAATTATTATGTTCTCCTTTTAAGAAATCGGCATTGCAAAAACGTCGCTGAAAGCACGTTATTTTTTATTGTGACGTCATCGCTATTTTTACGGAAGCTGTGAAGTAGTATCCTCTCGCTGCTTATATATATAATTGTGTTTTCTTTTCACTTGACACTCTTTTTCAGCTTATTTTGCTAGCGTAATTAGACTAATTAAGCCTAATTATGGATATTTCACCTGGCTTTTGGATTATACTATGACTCTAAAAGCCCTTAAACCACAACGATCTGTTATTTTTATTTTTGTTAATTTTGTGTTAATCCCTGGAATTTGTAGTGAGCGTTGGTCTTTGTGTGTTTATTTAGGCCTAATTATTTGTTTTCAAATTTGTTATAGCTTAATTAATTTGTCTTAATTCTTATTGATTTCATAAATTTTAATTAGGTTAATTATAATATTATTTTCACTGGTCTTCGTTGATACATTTATTAGGCTTAGTAATGTTTATATTATATAAATATATTTTTATATTTTATTATATATTATTAAGATTTTAGAGCCTGATAAATTAAATGATTTTAGCGTTGAGTCTAGGTTTACATTACTAATTAGTACTTAGTAAACCAAGTACGCATGGACTAGGACATGTGTGTGCTGTGCCGGCGTTGTGGGGTGTTGGGAGATTGCGAGACGCGAAAAGCGAAATGGCGAGGCGGGAAAATGCGTGAAGATAAAGCGAGACATACCTGTGGAATTAAGGGTAAATAGCGAGACACTTTTTGCGAAAAAAAAGTATTTTTCATCTTTATTTATTTAAATTATTTGTTTTTTTGTTTTAAAATAAACAAGCACACCCTTTAACACGAGTGTTGTATGTTGTTATTTTTTATCTAGATTTTATAATATAGATTGATAGATACTAAGAAGATAGATGGATCTATATCTATTAAAAAATCCTAACATCGTTGCTGTGCTACTGTCATCGCCCGCTCTCGTTAGCGAGAGGAAAATCCCGTCTCAGTCGACATTAATTTTAAAAATCAAGCCCACTCATGTTTAAACAAACGTGAGCTGTGTCATTGTGGATTGGTATAATCTTGTAAGCAGGAGAGATATTCTGCAACATGTATTTATGGATTTTGTACTTGCAAAAAGTGTAAAAGTATAAACAATTCTAAAAAGTGCAATTTATTTTTTTATTAAGTAATTTTAATTACAAACAAAATTTACATACAAAATCTTCTGAAACAGTCCTAGCACTACTCAAACGCACCTCGTGACACCATCTTTCACACATAGTACATCCACCCTTGTGCTTATATTTATATGGTAAATAAACCGGTAGTGATCTCCCCTAAACTTTCTCGAATATTCTTATATAAAACAACAGGGGATGGTAACTGGGGATATAGTTATGATTTTCAATCCATTTTAAATACTGAAACTTTTAAAAATAGAATAGAATCTCAGTAAAAAACAATTGCGCACCAAGCGAACGCCTAATAAAGGTGTGTATAATAGTGCGCAATAGTGTTAGTACTTAATAAATTTACATTAGTTTTTTGAGAAATCGGAAGTAGCGTAAATTACTACTTCCGGTCAACGGAAATTACTCAAAATTTAACAGAAGGTAGAGAATTAGATCTTTTACTTACATGTGAAATTTCATTTATCTATCTGAAATAGTACTCAAGTTATAGGCTTTTGAAAAATTCAAAGTAGAAAAAGTACCACTTCCGGTTGTCGGAAATCGCTCAAAAGTTGATACGGATCTACGATTTTGATATAATACTTATATATGAAATTTCATCAACCTAGCTGTAACGGTACTCAAGTTATCGTGTTTACACACGGACACACAGACACACACACAGACACACACACACAGACATACGGACAAGATTGCAAAATTATGTTTTTCCGTATCAGTGAGGTGTAAAACGTCGAGATTTGTAAAAATCACGATTTTTTTTTTTGCACGATTACAATACTTTCTCTATACTACGTATATACGAGAAAGTAAAAAAGCTAGAAAAAAATCATCGTAGGCGGCGGCTATAATACAAAATTTCTATGCAACAATAGAAAATATGTTTGCGGCGGCAGCGGATCCGGGCACGGTGATTTTCAAAGACGGTAAATCAGGCGGCCTCGGCGTTCCACACAAAAGACAGAAGTTGATCTATCGTCGGCGGTATTTCCCTCGGTTTCGAACAAGGTGGTATTCTAAGTCGACACAAAAGATGGGGGGAGTTGACAAATTATAAATATAATACTAATACGAGAAGAGTGAGTTCCTTTGACTTCACAATTCCCAATATATTACATCCCTTTACCCTTAGTAAACAACAACACATCTCTCAATAGAACAAATGATAGTATCCTAAAATCACCAAATATACTGCAACATGAACATTATATGATTTGAATCATTTGGTAGATTACACCCTTACAAACAAATGCACAATATGCCACAACATAATTAAGATACAAAACAATGATGTCAAAGTCCTTTTGACCTTTAAAATCATAGGTCTAACTTATCTGGGACTTTGATTGTCCTGTTTGACCTTCTCAGTGGCTTTTGATTTGGTGACTCAAGATTCTGACCATCTGGATTCTCTAGCTCAGGAAGTCTAGGATCCAAATCATTAATTCCAGAATTTACATTTTCTGACTCTAGACTACTTGGTTCACTCATATCAACAGAACTTGGTTGTGGAACAAACTGAGTTGGTGTGAACTGTTCAGATTTGGTGGGATTGACAGATTCACACTTATTATCTGCACAAGTTATTTTTAACTGGTCTGCGTGTCTACGGACAATAAGTCCATCATTTGTTTTTACTTTATAAGACACAGGTCCTGTACATTGAACTATTTGACCTGGCATCCATTTTTCCCTTCCCCCATAATTTCTCAGATACACATTATCATTAACTCCAAATTCTCTTTCAATGGATGTTTTTTCATGATTTACTTTTTGTGTATGTTGATGTTGGGAAACAGACCTTTGAACAGTTGGATGTAGTAGGTCAAGGTGAGTTTTAATTTTCCGACCACATAGCAATTCGCATGGTGCAACACCTGTTGTTATATGAGGAGTTGTGAGGTATTCGGCTAAGAACCTGTTTACTCTTTCCCTGAGAGAAAATTTGTTACCGGTACTCATTTTTACCATAGCGGTTTTGAATATGCCTACCGCTCTTTCAGCTAAACCATTCCCAGCAGGATGATAGGGTGATGTGGTTATATGCTCAATACCATTTGCTACACAAAACAGTTTAAACTCATGAGCAGTGAAACTAGGCCCATTATCTGAAACAATTTGATCTGGTAATCCATGGGTTGAAAATATTTCCTTAAGTTCTATAATGGTATCATTTGCAGTGATTGTGTTCATGATTTTAACTTCTAACCACTTAGAATGTGAATCAATAACAATTAAGAACATTTTGTTCATGAAAGGTCCTGCGAAATCTATATGTATACGTTTCCATGGTTCGATTGGCCAGTCCCAGTTTTGCAAAGGTGCTGTAGCTGGTTGATTTGAATGTTGTGCACAGCTTGAACAAAGCTTTACATATTTTTCAATATCAGCATCCATATATGACCACCAGAACCACGATCGTGCAAGAACCAAGATGAGTATCATGTAAAGTTCTTAAAACTTCTTTTTGTAACATTTTGGGGATAATAACTCTTGACCCCCATAGTACACATCCATCTTCTAGACTTAACTCCATTTTTCTTATTTTAAATGGCCTTAAGTCATCATTCACAGACTCTTCAGGCCAACCATTCTTACGGTACTCATATACTTTTATTAAGCACTCATCTTTTTGTGTTTCTCTTTTAACATCATTCACATTTATATTGGAGTTATCCATGATAGTGAAAAGAACAAATACATCTTCTGGTACATAACTAAGGCATTGATTTTTAAAGGTAATTGACTAAAACTATCTGCACTATTCTCAGATCCAGGTTTGTATTTCAATTAATAATTGTATGCAGCTAGTGTGATAGCCCATCTCTGAATTCTTGGTGAGGCATGCTCAGGCAGGGGTTTGTTTTCCCCAAACAAACCTAGCAATGGTTTATGATCTGTAAAGATGGTGAACTCCCTACCAAACAGAAACTTGTGAAATTTCTTAACACCAAAAATGATGCCTAAGCCTTCCCTATCTAACTGAGAATAATTTTTCTCGGCCTGGTTCAAAGATCTACTGGCAAAAGCAGTGGGTCTGTCACCATTTTCATCTATGTAGGATAAG